TCTCAAAAATTTATAATCCAAGAGCTGTGTTGAGCGCATAATTTCGCACACGGCGCGCTGTTCTATCAACTGCTGACGGTGTATGTTAAATAAAAATTCAGGCTGAGTATGTGTTTTTTTTTTTTTTTTATTTTTTCTTATTATTAAGAACTTGTATACCTATTTTGAGATTTTAGAAAAGTGTTGCAACATACATGGTTTTTTTCACACAACTTTGAAGTAGCCGTCCTCCCGCTAATCGTAAAAGAAACTGGCTGACTGACTGACAGAAGGCTGCTATTGCTTTACACCATAAATATTACATAATATGGAAATATCAGGTTTTGGAAAAGTGTTGCATTTTTTTTTTTTGCCACTCACCTCCCCCTGYCTATTAATTTTCGACTTAACTTGACCTACCCCCAAAACTTATTTCACATTAAACATCATCCTTATATACATGTAGGTATATATATATGTATGTATGTACATGTGTTTGTAGATGTATATATGTATATTTTTATATATATATGTTGTGTAATTATATAAAGCTTGCAAATTTTCTATTATAATCAAATATTAATTAATATAATAAGAAATATTTGTTGTATTTATTATCACAGGTACCTGTTTGATAATTAATATTGCAATTTTTAATGTGTACAATTAATAATATTTTGTTGTTAAATGTTTTATACTAATATTTAAATCACACAAAATATACAACAGCATTTACAACAGTATTTTAAATTTAAATATATATATTTTGTATGCTTAGTTATATATTTCATTTTCTATTATAATCAAATATTAATTTGATAAGAAATATTTTGTATTTATTATCACAGGTTAGTATTTGATAATTAATATTGCAATTTGTAGCAATTTTAAATCTGTACAATACATATTGTACTAATATTTAAATCACACCAAATATTTTCTAATATACATCAGCATTTATTACAGTATTCTAAATTTAAATATATATTATTTGTGCTTAGTTATAAATTTCATTTTCTATTATAATCAAATATTAATTGATAAGAAATATTGTTTGTATTTATTATCACAGGTTAGTATTTGATAATTAACGTTGCAATTTGTAGCAATTTTGAATATGTACAATTAATAATACTATTTTGTTTAAGTGTTTTGTACTAATATTTAAATCACACAAAATATTTTATAATATAGAACAGCATTTACAGTATTCTAAATTTAAATATATATATATATATTTTTTGTGCTTAGTTATAAATTTCATTTTCTATTATAATCAAATATTAATTAATTAATAAGAAATATTTTTTGTATTCATTGTCACATGTACTTGTTTGATAATTAACCTTGCAATTTGTAGCAATTTTGAATCTGTACAATTAATAATACTTTTTTGTTAAGTGTTTTATACTAATATTTAAATCACACAAAATATACAACAGCACATTTACAGTATTGTAAATTTAAATATATATTTTTTGTGCTTTGCTATAAATTTCATATTTGTATTGTAATAGTTAATTCATTGTGTATGTAATTTAAACTAATGTAGTTTTTAAATAATTGTGATGTAGTTTATATGTATGGTCCAAAAAAATATTGAACATAAAAACTGTCGTTAATGAGCATGAGAAAATATTGAAAAAAAAAAAAAAAAAAGAAATTACCTACAATAACCATATTTGTCTTCTAGAAAGATATTTCTAAAGAGATATTTCTAAAGAAAAACAAAGAATTTCATACAATCTAACAAATGTTAGATTTACAAACACATATATATTTATATATAGTGATATATAAAAGAGAAGAAGAAATAGGAATAAAGTAACTGACGCCTATTCATTCTTGTTCTAAATTCTAAACACTTTAAACTAGACTATGAACAGAAATGTTACGTAAAAATGTTAAGAATAGATTGATAATAGAACAAAGGAAAAAAAACAGGTAAACATTTATCTATACAAAAAAAAAAACAAAAAACAAAAAAAGTAAAACGTTTAAAGTCACGAAAAAAAACAAAACAAAACAAACAAACAAAAGAAAAGAAAAGAAAAGAAAAGAAAAACTTTGAAAAATACAATTCTCTGGAAATAAAATCAACCAAAAAAAAAAAAATTGTACAGATTCAAAATAAAATAACTAGCACAGAAAAAAAAAAATTGTTCTCTTGAATATATTTAAAAAACTATTTTATCTTCCTTACGTGCTTTATCTATCACATCGAGTGACTCAATTTCTTCTTAAAAAATAAAATAAAATAAAATAAAATAAAAAAGGTTGAGATTTAACTGTAAAGATCGCAAGATGTTTCTGTAATAATCGTAAGAAACCGACAAATCTTCCTTCACGTTTATCTCAATGGTTCGTGAAAGAATATGAAATAACCATATAAAGAGTAGCAAACATAAAGTGCATTGTTGTTCATATAGATGATGACTACGTGATCTCCATCATGAAAAACTGCTCATGTAAAACGTAAGCTCTCGTAATGTGCCTGCTGCTGCTGTCGTTCCCAAAAATATATAGAGTTTAGTATACAATTAGTTTTTAACAGGGCCGGTTTGTCTGCGTTTGTTGATCAGCAACCAGCATACAATCAAAAACCTATATAGGCAGAAGAGGTTTTTGATAAATAAAGAAACCAAAAAGGTTTCCAAATTCTTTCTACAAATTGACTCGTTGATCGTATTTCAATGCATTCCAATGTAATACTTATATAAAGATATAAGATGTTGTATAGATGATGCATAAGTGTAGAAGAAAGAGGTGTAGAAGAATAAAGAATGTTGACCAAAACCCCTTATCGTGCTTTATATATTAATGATTGCATTTTATATTGCGTTTATACTATTTACAAGTAGAACAAATTAAAATGTACTTTTTCATATGAAAATAAATGAATTTTTCGATATTTTGAAATAGGGTGAGTATTTATATATATATATATATATATATAATTTTGTAAATTTTTCATTCAAACAAGAGAGTAATAAAGTTGAATGTTTAAAGAATGTTGACCAAAACCCCTTATCGTGCTTTATATATTAATGATTGCATTTTATATTGCGTTTATACTATTTACAAGTAGAACAAATTAAANTATATATATGGGCGTGTTAAGCTACGCGAAAGTAATAATGTAAACGCAAGAAATGCTATCGTACAGATGGTTGCATGCGCATTTACAAAGAGAGTCTCTCTCTTTCGAGGTCATCGAGATTCTCCGACGTGCGTTTCGTCGGTTACGGTCGAGTTTCTTCAGACTAACGAGTCTAACAACAAGTAGAAAAATAAATTAAAAGCCTTAAGAGGACGATCTATCTGATGATAACAATAATACGATAATCATTGATTACAATGAACATTCTTTCGAAATTATCAAAGAAAATATTTTCTAATCAAAAAAAAATCTAAAATACAATTAATTAATTAATTAAATATTATATACACATAATTAAATAATGAGCATTAATTAAATCATTATAAATAACGTTAAAAAAAATTCTTTCTCTCATTGTTACCAACCGCGTTTACTGTTTCTAAAAAAAAACAAAAGAAAAAACAAACAAACGAGGAATTTCATTCGATCAAAAGTAAATTATAATAAACTTTTAAATAAATGATGATGAAAGAAATTTCTAGATGACGTAAGGAATATAATTTAAAAAAAAAAACAAAAAACAAAAAACAATATGGAACATAATGTTGCATCGTTTTTAATCGAAACGTTTTAATGGCCGAGTATGAGTAGATAAAAAAAAGGAAAAAAAAGAAGAAAAAAATGTTATCTTTCGTGATAACACAACGGCGGGACATATGCGGAGAAAATGAAAGAGAGAGAGAGAAAGAGAGAGACAGAGAGAGACGCTGCATCAACACAACTATGAAACAACTACAAGGAAAATCCTCGTAAAGTGGCGCTGATCTCGCTTTTATCTTTTCTAATATACAATACACACACGTAATTCCTCCCCCTTTTTACTACGCCCTACTTAAATCTTTCTTTTTTATCTGAATCTTTGTTCGCCCGGTAAAATGAGGTAAAAAAAAAAAAAAAGAAAAAAAAATATGACCAGAAATAAAAGAATTTAGTTATTTAATAAAAAAAAATTATGAAAAAGATAATGGTTGTGTAGTAACTCCTTCTGGGGTAAACCTATCAAAGTATCCAGACGAATTCCGACGGAAGAAGCCGAAGCGAATCGCCAGAATTATCGACTTTGGCCGTCGACCCTCGTCGTCGTCGTCGTCGTCGTCGTCGTCGTAGTCATAGTCGTCGTCACCATCGTGGCCGTCAATGATACATCATTTTCGTACAAAAGATGTTAAATGAATATAACAGGGCATATAATATTTCTAATCTTATATCATTTTGTTATAATTGTTGTTCTCTCAACTTTTCGTTATGGTTTTGATTTTTAATCGAATATTCAAAATAGGATTAAAATAACAAATGATGATCTAACAAAAAAAAAAAAATAAGAATGCAATTTGATGATTTCTTTATTCCCTACAGTATAACAATCGAAGCGAAAGGAAAATTTGGTAGAAAGGACAGGTAGCTGGTATATAGGACAGTTAGGTACAAAAAGAAATAAGGGGAAAAGGTACAGAACGAAGGGAACATAGGAAATGAAGAAAGGAAGGAATGCAAGACGCGTCCACGTGAGAGGGCACGCTCTCTACACTGGTAGACTAGATTAGATTTACAATAGTGGTGTAACTTTGCTACATCTTTGTAATAATATCGACGTAAAAGAAAAGACAAAAATTTAACCAAAACACGAAATTTCGTAAACGGTTTTTCGACTTTTAATCCGGTGAGATATGCCGGAATCGATGTAAGAATGGAAGTAAAGGATAGAACGATAGATAAAAGAGAGAAAGAGAGAGAGAGAAGGAGGAAGAAATACGATAAACGAAAGTTAGTAAAGGACGCTTTTTCACTAAACACTTAAAAATCATTTCACCAATAACAAATAAAACGTTGGTTATATTTTACAAAATGGTTCTCAACTTACCCGTTCAAAAGAATTCAAATAGAAACCGCAAAAGACTTTCAAGAACAGGATCAACGCTAACTTACTTACAATGAAAATACTTCTGGTACACAAATTGCAAGAATAGCTTTCCTATGCACCCGGACCGACATACGCTACTAACGCCATCTGCCGGTCTAACGCGATTGGACGAAATCAATCGACCAATCAACGTAAAGCTTGCCTCCTTTACGGGGGAAATAATTTGAAGTGAATTATTCTTCACATTGTCTCGCCACAATTCAAACATTTCTAATCATTAACTTATCCTTTTTTATTTTTACTTTATCGTTCTATCTCGTATTTTCATTATCTATGGAAATTACTGTCGAATTTAATTAACTCTCGAGAAAATTTACGATATATATATATATATATATATATATATATATATATATTATGTAACTAGTCATATTACTTTTCTTCTTTTTTTTCTTTCTTATAAATGAAATTGTTTAATCAAAAATATCGATAAATTAAACTACTCCCTGACGTTCTATTTTATTTAATAATTTATCAACAATGCAAAACGATCAAGACAAAATGAATATTACAGAAGAAATGCAATCGTACGAAAAGAAATTTCAAACGATTAATAAGAAATACGAAGAAATCGAATTGAAAATTATTCATATAAGTCAATCCAGAGATAGAACGTTGCTCGAATTAGAAGACATGAAAATGAGAAACGATATGCTTAAAGAACGATTAATAAATATTCACGATAATTATTTATCCTGCGTAACGATATTGGATAATCAACAAAGATACGAGGATGAAATGCGCGGTAAATTTGAAAAGTTAACTATCGAACGAAACAATTTAAATGAACGTTTGATCGAATGTAAACGATTAAAGGAAGATAATGAAGAAGAGATTAGAAAATTATCTGTTACATTCGAAATAGAAAAGGTAATTAGTATAGAATTCGCAATGTGTTTTTAAATAAAATATAATCATGTTCATCATTTTATATGTTTTTCCGTAAATACAAACTATAAACGATGCGTTACAATGATAATGTAACAATATTTCGTAGAAAAAGAACGTAGCTTTACTTCGTAAATTAGAGACAGCATCAAAGACGATTAATATCACGCAAGATTTACGTGATAAAATTAACGTTGTTTTAATGAACAACAACGAGTCATCAAATGAAATCTAAAGAAAAATCTCACACAAATCAACTAACATGTAAAAATATAAATAAATAAATATAAAAATAATTTTTTTTTTTTTACTATGATAATAAAAATGGCCTATTGTCTTCGAATATATGACCCATATAAATCAGTATTGCAATAAATAAATCAAATATTTAAATACATTGATCGAATACTTTCAACAATACCATTTTTAATCTTATTCCAAATTCTCCCCTTTTATTGTCATAGCACAAACCACCGTTGTTTTCTCGATTCATTTCCCAAATCATTATTTCACAATTAGGAAAATTACCTCTCTGTCTTTTCGTACTTTTTCTGTCAGACTTTGAGCAGCATAATATCCCTTTCTTTGTTTCGTATTTCCAAACAATGACACATCATTTAATTAATCTTCTTCCATTACTTGAAGCAAATGTTGCACCTCTTCTACTTGATTTTCCAAATATTCTTGAATAATAGGAGCTCTGTGTAAAATATTTGCTACTCTGTCATTAGTAGCACATAATTTGGCCCTATCATCAGTGAGTTTCTTCATTAGGATAGCATTTTCATTTTCTTTTTCGATCAACCATTTCTCTAGTTTCTCATTTTCTGCTTTAATCTTTTCAGCGTCTAACGATCTCAAGTGTAATTCAACATTTCCAGGTGGTCTCCTACAAATACACAGAATTAATATCGTTAGTTTGATAAACTATTTATAAAAGAAACTAGAAGAAATTGCTATTGTACCAAACAGTTTGATCGTTCGTTGAATTTACAGCTTCTTCCGACAATTTGGAAACTTTCTTCAATCCAGCTTCCAATGAACCCTCTTGATATATTTCCTCCAATTCGTCATTCATTCTCTTCAACAATTCATCAATCATAGCTTTGTGCAATTTACGGCAGAGAGAAGAGGATGACCGTTTCTTAACGATAGTCAACTCGCGAAATTCTTCTTCACTGAAAAAATAAATAACGTTATTATACTCTCAGTATAATAAATCAATTCTATTTATAAATTATAGACAAATAATTCACATTTTTATCTATCTCAATATACAATTATATATCCGATATACATAATAAGGATAAATACAATATATTACGTAAAAATAAAGTAATATAATACTTAAAAAAAAAATGTACCAACACTCCTTTAATGCCGATACTTATTTAAACAAATACACACGATCATATATTGTGCACAAATATGTAATCTTTATGTAATATAAAACACGCACACACGCACACACTCACACACGCTTGTACACGCTATTCTATGAAATTCTATGAAAGAAAACTATTCTTCAGAGTTGACATAGTAAGCTCAATCAGGCCGGGACTGGTGCAATTTGATATAAATGCTACATATTTGCATTAGTCCAGACCTAACTGAACACACTAATTATTTCTTTGATGATGATCCTTGTCCAAATGCAACTTCTTTTTATTATAACAAACAAACAACATAGGAATTTTATTTGAAAACTTCGAGAGTGAAAGAGACACACTGCAGGAGCCCAACAACAAAGAGAAAAAAAAAAGAAAAAAAAAAAGAATAAAAGTAATAGAAAAAAAAAAAAAAAGATGTGTTGAATTTACGATCTCGACCAACCGATCCAAAAACTATCACGATCTTTACAATCGAGGGTTGCTCCAACAACTGTGGCTTCCGTTGAAGATCTCTCTCTCTCTCTCTCTCTCTCACTCTCTTTCTTTCTTCCTTTTGTAGTATGGTAGGTATATACACGCTTAGGGTCCTTTGTTTCCTCGAACATTTCATGGAATTCCTCGAAGGTCAACCGGGTATGCCGAGCGTCTGCTGAGTTTCTCGGAAGAGGAAATAGAAGGAGGATGATTAGCAACGGAGAAGTTTAGAAAGAGTAAAAGAGGAGAGGAGAGGAGAGGAGAGGAAGGAATGGAATTTCTTTTAACGATTATTATTCTCAGAACGAGAGAAGTAGTAAAGGGGGAGGAAGGGAGAAAGGAAGAAAGGAAGAAAGAAAGAAAGAAAGAGAACGCATAATCCTCTTTCAACGGTGACCAAAGAACTCGATGGTCAACCACGTCAGAAAACGAACGAACGAACTACGAATTAACATGCGAGTTTGCGAAGGCCAATGACATCGAATGACACCATCGAGTTCAACCGACCTTAACATTTTCTTCCCCTTCCTTCCCGAATATTCTTTTTCACGAGAGCTTACATATCGTTTTGTAGGAAGATGCTATTATTATTTATTCTTAGGTAAAATTTTGTATATTAAAGATTTTCATTATTAGAATTCTTTTTTCTTTATCAACTGATCCGAAAATAAAAAAAATAATTACATTTATTTATTAAATGATCAATAAATCTTTAGTCAGAATTTGTCTATAACGAAACCAAAAAAAACAGACCTGTTAAGTATAAAATACATGTTTCTTGTGTAACATTTTTTTTTGGTCAAATTAACTGATTAATTAAACAGAAAATATTGCTTACAAATAATTCAATGAAAGAACGGACGGACATAATCGTCGAACGATGCCAATGCAAAACTGTGTGAACACATTTTTCCAATCCCTTTCACTTGAGACTCCAATGCGGAAACTAAATTATAATTGATATTATTTTGTTACCGTTATAATCCGTTCGATACGTGATAATAAATTGAAAGTTAAATAAGTATTACTGTATACTAAGTATTATTTTGTCAGTTAATTCTTCATTTTATATTGATTATTACGTGGAAGAATAATTTATTATTGTAATATAATACAATGTCTCTATATGAATAATAATACGTGCATTTCCTTTGAAGAAAGGTCAGAGAATGAAATAGTTTAGATTATTAAAAGACCATGTGTGCATGGTATTCGATATGATACATTCCTATCAAGATTACTTCTTCCTGGAAGCAATAATGAGCCAAGCAACTTCCGGTCATGCTTATATTGCTGTAATTATAAGAGCTCAGATGAAAGAATATCGCTGAATCCATTCAAAAATTCATTTAATATATATGTATATAACATTTCTTCAATTATTTTTTAATATACAGGTTGAGATAAAAGTCACTATATTCTTAAAGTAATTTTMAAGAAATTATTTATTTATTCATTCATTTGTTTTAATTATTAATTTGTATGTAACAGAAAATAACCAAGGGTTTTGTTTAGCATGTATTTTATCGACATTTATAAAAATCTTTTGATTTATCAAGAAAGGATACAACATAATAAGTTGTATTAATTAGTTTTTTGTTTTTGTACAGTTAGAACTGCATGAACAAATAAATTACATAAACAAATTTCTGAAAAAAGCAACTACTTATCTCATCCTGTATAATTTATTCGCATTTATAATATAGTATCAAGATTAAATGAAGTATATTTGAAATATTAACTTTTTACAATTTTTAAACTAATATCGCAAACTGCATAATGTTAAACTATGGAAATGTGGTATAATAAAAAATGTATAATACAACAGAATAGTACATGGAATAATTGTTTTTTTTTTTTTTTTTTTTTTTTTTTTTTTTAAGTAAGAATAAAATCTAATTTGAAATTCGTTTCTATTTTAGTCTTCTATTGTCATCAATCAGTCATCTTTATTGTGGCTACTGTGATTTAGAATTCCGGAGAATGCATAAAAGACATATTTTTTATGAATGTAAAAGTTATTATAGTTAACATTTCAATAAAAGAAACAAATAAATAATAATTTTATCGTTAGAATAGAAAATCTTTTGTTACTGTTTCTCTAATGATAAGAAATTGGTGTTCAAGTTTGTAAGAAATTTTTTAAAATGTATGTATGTATAAATCTAAATTATCGAGACTATAATAATTTGGACTCACCTGACAGATTCAGCAATGTTTTTGAAACTCTTTGTAACAGCAAGCCGGAAAAGAAGCGCATTGTTTGCTGCAGATACTTCTTCTTTCTCAAGTGTAACATCTTGCCCTTGCGACATATTTAAATCTAACCTATACAATTCTTTCATCTGTCACCATATCAATATAACGCTCGTAAGTTCTTCCTTTTGATATCACAGATTCACAGTTACATTCCTATTTTCTTTGAAGGTTTCTTTAATTTCTAGAAAATATGGAAATGCATCATATGCACTTGCAAAGAAATTATTCAAAACACGCCGACGCAATTTACTACTGTCAGTCACGCGAATGCTATACTCTCCACGTAATGCAAGAAGAAGCGTCGAGGTGGAGGTGGAGCCATCTATCGTAATCCCAGAGACTTTAGTTCGTTAGAAGGGCCGTACAATTATCGTACGCACAGGAAAAATGTTGAATTTGTTGAATTTTTCGGATTTGATTTTCAACATCTGAAAAAAGAATAAAAGTTCTAATTTTTTCAAAGTTGATGACCTTTTTCTTTTTTTTTCTTTTTTTTTTTTAGACTTCAAGTTTAAACAAGTTGTCGTACGTACGGCGTACGGCAGGGAGAGAGATCAGATGGTACAGTGGTGGTTCTTTCTTCTCGAGATATTGAATCAAAATCACATTGCTTGTCTTCAACTTACCCGTTGGGTAAAATATAAAAAAAAAAAAAAAAAAATGTTATCAAGTTTTCTAATTTTCAGATTGGACAGTGATAATTTATAGTTTTATCGATACAATTATGTACATATCGGATAATATCGGATAATATCGAATAATATCGAATTATCGTAAAATCGAAAATTATCGTACAGACTGAATTTTGGATCGTACAAGACTTCAAATTATGTGACGCGTACAATAATTATCGTACGAATGGGATCACTGCTATCGACTAAACCACTACGTGATCCACCTTATCGATAGTTATCGAATTTCTTACAGTAGTGATATATCGAAATTTGAAAGTGATTAGTATTCGAAATATATATATTAGTTTTATTATGAAATTTATAAATAAAAGATATTCTTTTTGAAAAGAAAATAAAATCTACATTGCGATATACTGTAAAATTAAACATTTAAATAAACTATATTAATTAAACACAATATAATTTATTATTATATTAATATTATTTCGATAAAATATAATATAATCGAAGAAACAGAAGAACATGCATTATATGATACATTTAATTATTTAACATCTTATTTTCTTCTTCTTTTTATATTTAAAAAGTTTCGATCTACAAAAAGGAGTTGCAATAACTGACAATGAGTTTCACAGACAATTGTCGTGATCTCAATTTTTCGTTCCACGTTCTCAGTGAAATTTCTCGATGGTAATGACGATTATGTATTCAACGGATTACGTGTGCTTAGACAATCACGTTAGATCAAAGCCATTGAAGCTACGCTACATCTGCATCTTCCTATGGAATGTCGAAGAAAGTAACTTCGTGGAAATTTAATGGTTGATGATCCCCGATCGATCTTTCACAAGGCAAACTCGTTACTGAAAGTATCGTGAGCTACATTAGCGATATTACATAATTGTATATATCATTTCTACAAGAATTTACTTATCTTGAAATAATATTGATCTATCTCATTATTTTGCGATAAATCTAACTTTAACTTGGAAATAAAAAATGCTCAATGTGTGTGTGCATAAAAACTTGACGACACGACGAAAAATGATATCACAAATCTCAATAAAATTGATGTAAAAAGTTTCAAAAAAGAGAATACTTCAAAATGTAGATGATTTTTACAATTTCATATAAAATTCCCAAGAGACTTTTCATCCGACTCCTCACATCATACATATGTAAATAGATATGTAATATAAAGTAGAAATGGTATCCGGTATATTCGTAGAGGCATAGTTCGATGAAATATCTCGGTGAACACGTTGAATATGAGAGCTATTCAAAAAGATGTTGTAATTGCAGCAGGTACCAGCAGCAGGTTCATTTGCTAACCGGACGTTAAGAATCAAATCCATCGTTGTTCGTTTCTACGTAAGATTGAATACACGAAGAAGAAGATGATCATATAAGCGGAACAAGTGCTTATAGATACATATCCGTAGATTTATCTTATAGTATCCGCATTTAAAATGACTCGATACGTCATTTGGTGGGTAAACAACGTTTGCCGAATATCAAACGAGCCGTTTATAGTATTACCAAGATAGAAATGGAAGAAGAAAGACTTGTATACTAAGATCATCGTACACATCTAAAGTGTGTATTTGAAAAGATGCGACCGGAATTGGTAACATTTGATGATAGCGAATGAGATATGGCAATACCTATCGCATGTTGGGCTAATACATTCTCTCAATCTCTAATCCTCTTTCTCTCTGATTCTTAAAAGTTCACCGGATCTTCCCCATTAGCTCTTATGGTAGGAATCCAAGGCGAACCAGGTGTATATCGGTAGAAAATATGTTCACTCTTAAATTGGATCATCCTTTGAAAGGGACACATTCGTGTCGAGATCGACTGCACCCTTAAATCAAAGGTCATTCTAATTGAATCCAGCCACTTAATAAGAGATTAAGGATAGAGACAAAAAATAAGAGAAAAAAAAAAAAACAAGAATAAAACAGAACATCTTAAACTCTTACGGATCGTCAAGATCGTCGAGAGAGATGTTCCAACGGCATCTTAAAATTATGCAATAACTGAACGGCCTGAACTATATTTTCTTTTTCTCTATCACACGGAACACGCGCAAAAAGGCTTCGGGGCTACCGATGAGCACCCATTCACTCCATCGGGTCTTGTCTATCTTAACGATTTTCTCATACCGAGATATTACTCTAATGTAAGAGTCAAATCCCATACGGGACCTTCTGCACTACGACGATCTTTCGATATTTTCTCTTTAACGAGTTTCTCGAGACTAGCCCCATCGTTTAGTTTATTTTGTTGTTTTGTTTTTCTTAATGTTTCAATCATTATCATCTTTTTATATTTTCTTGAGAAATGGAATGCATGAAATTTGTTCGCAACACGTTGCAGCATTGTCCTAATGGATCAAGAAAAATGATTTCTTCCGTTGGTTTTGTTTAAATATCTCGTTTTGGCCTCTCATCTTCTACTCTCATCCAATCCATGTAATCCTTGTCGTCGGAGAATAGTTGCGTCAATACCAAAGCGTAAGAAATCATCCAGACCGCAGCTTTTTTCTTCTCTCTCCATCTCTCGACCTCCGGCCGTCTGTTTGTCCGTCCGTCTGTTTGTCTATCTATTCGCGTTATTTCGAAATCATTTGACTCGAGCGAGAGCAAGAACACAAATGAAAAAGGGTTACGGAGTGGCAGGTACAGAAGTACCGGCATTGAGTTCAATCTAAATTTCGCAAGATAAAAGAAGAAGAAGAAGAAAAAATTAATAGATAAAAATGACAATGTAATTGACGTGTGCCGATCGATACGATAAATGATCGATCGCCATTATTTCTTCATTTTCGGGCGTCGTGTTTAAACGTCGACGCCATTATTAACACCTACCTTAGTTAGTTCGATGTGATCTTTTATCATTTAAAAATTTTGGTAAGAAGGATGAAACGTGTCGAACCATCGTGTTTCCTATCGCGTAAGAATAAGTACAAGTAAAGAAATAGAAAAAGAAGATCTAGTTCAAAGAATTCTCGGTTGAAGAGAATCTAACCCCTGGCATTACACGAGCAACAAGATAGATGAATGCGAGGATAGGAGCGCGCCAAAAGGGCTGGGTCTTCTCAAAGAATATATATCCGTGCTAGGTGACTCGATGATCCTTTTAGAAAGCAGTTCACTTGCTTAGGAAACCCCTCCGAACGAACGAACGAACGAACTCTACTATATACTATTATATACTACATTGTTTCAAACGATCGTCTAGCATCCTATTATCGAGAACAAGACTCACGATTGGCCCGATTTTTAATCGAGCCGCACCCCCGTTCACCATCCGCTAATTCAAATATCTTGTTGATTCTTCATTTTATAAATGTATATTCAAAGTTACTCTCACGTATATGTATTTGATCCTTCTTGATCCTCTTTGATCCAATTTAATCCTCTTTAACTATGATTGCTCAAATTGCCGATCATCTTCGTATGATTTTCATTTTGTTCTTGCGGTCGCGACTCGAATTAATATAAATAATTTCATTCATTTTTTTCTTTTTTTTTTTACAAAGTACTTTTATCAATATAATGTTTCAATGAAAATATTATTAAATTATATATTACAACATACAATTTAGATCAACAAGATAAATAAATATACCTAGCTACCGAAATCTATTTCAAAATATTATTTAATAGTGACCATTATTATAAGGCAAGAGAAAAAAAAATGATCTTTCGAAAGCGTTAATTTGCTATCCTCGAAATAAATAAATAAAAAAAAAAGAAAGAAATATCGTGAAAGTAAATCCTCAAACAAAAGAAAATTATAAATAAGTATGCGCACAATTTCTATATACATACGTGTATACTATATAAATGGCATAAAGACCGAGATTTGAAAATTTCACTTTAAGATTACGAACGAGTAGAAATCTCTAGTAAAATGCAGACCATTTACTAGATGTTATATCATCGAGCGTGATGCTTTCAATCGCTGTCTAAAGATGATCCTGTCAGGTGAAGTGACTGACTCTCGGTCACGTCATATGATTATACACCTATATAGAAATATCTGCCATCAATCACAGTACTCTACTACATGAATAAATCTAAAATAGAAAATATATATTTAAATGATTTATAATAAATTTATATATTTGAAATATATCTCAAATAAATTCAAATAAAACGTCAATCATTATAAATGATCATTATAAATCAATTTGATCTCTCCTATCACAAAGATATATTTTCTATAACACATTACTAAATATCAATAAAAAAAATAAATAAATATATATATCATACTAATTGTAAATAAAATAAAATCTGAATACTTAACAATGAGTAAAGAATAAACAAATAAAGTCAAGGTTTCGTTTCTTCTCTTTTTGGTCTGAAATAACCTACGCCATTTTGGTACCGATCTAACGTACAAGACTTCCGTGAGAAATAATAACGAGACGGTTGGATGTTGATTGCTCAATGAGAAAGAAGAAACGATTTGTCACATGTCTAGAGTTCAACCACGACTCTACCAGATAAAATATGAAATTTTATGAAGAAAATCGAAAATATATAAACATTGACCGAATGTATGACGTGAAGACGGGAAGATGATCCAGCAGCGCGTTAAAATCGTTGACGAACCAAATAAGGGAAGATGGTGTTGTACCAGTAAAAGTATTATCATCATCGACAGTAACATTAGCAAAAGGAGAAAAAGAAGAAGAAGAAGAAGAAATCGAAGCAAAAGCAAAAGCAAAAGATAGGTGTATTCGTTGCTTGTACATCTACAAAGAGAAAGAAAATTTAGAGTGAGTTTAACGAGCTGAAAACAGCATAAGTTTGATCTAAAGACAGAAAGTCGATTATTAGGGGGAAGAAGCGATCGAGAGTAGCGTGGGTACCGTGACCTGAGATCGGAGAAAGAAAAAGGAGAGAAAAAATGAAAGAAAGAGGAAGATGAAAAGAGACAGAAAAATGGAGAGGTTCGATCATTAAAAGAAGAAGAAGAAGAAGAAGAAGGAGTTACGTCCTGATCGGTAATATACTAGACGATTTGGAGCGCGTTCTCTTCTAATACGTAGACGACGCGTTACACGCACCATCTTTCTCTTTTTCTTTCTCTCTCTTTAGAAACAGAAAGATGTGCAACGCATCTCTTACGTAATAAGCAAGATATCTCAGCAGAGAGTCGGTTGCAGGAATCAACATGCGTTGGGTTGCTGTTTGCTAGCTAGCTAGCTTGCTCTCTATAAGCCGCGAATAGGAGGATGATGATGATGATGATGATGATGCGACCCCAGTCGTAATATCCAACGAAGAAAGGCCGATATAATTACAAGGAGGAACGCGGCTGCATAATATGGGTAAGATGTCTCTTCTTCGACACCGCATTGTGATCCTCTCTTTTTTTTCTTTACTCTACCACCATTTGTTTCATTTTTTCTTTTTTTTTCTTTTTTCTTTTCTTTTACGCGGTTACCATCTCTTTCTTTCTCTCTTTGTCTTTTTTTTATAATGGTATAAACTCACAGTCAGTCACATTTATACCGGGTTACTTGATGCGTTCTCATGACGATCGTTCGACCTTCAGATTCGTCGAGAGATGCCCGCCGATCTGTATCATCCGACTTGCGCAACTACCCTCTCATCTATTTATTTCTCTTTCTCTCTCCCTCTTTCTCCCTCTCTCTTTTTTTTCTTTCTTTCTCTTACATATAAATATAGATATATATATATATATACTTAGAGACGTTAATTCTCTTTCTCTCCTACTCTTTCTTTCCCCATTCACCATAGACGACGACATCATATTCATCTTCCATCTCTCTTACTCGAGCAACGCACACGAGGACTCCCATTTGGCGAACTTCATCAGGGTGTTCTTTTTCTTCTACTTCTTGTTGTTCATCGGGCCACAGTCATAAGCCCTCCCCTTCGACCTGGTGGGAGGAAGACGATCCACCGTGGATGGATCGAGTATATAAGAACGCTTGATTCGACCTGGATCCGTACAGACCAATTATCGCTATCGTTTCGCGATACATCACCTCTCGTCAGTCTAGTGTTCGAATACGTTAACCCTACAGGACTCCACTTCGCAAAAAATTTCAAGGATTAGCAAGGATCTGTCTGGCAGCGACATGAGACCGGTAGGAATATACACCTTACCGTCGTTGTTCTTCTTCCTACTTTTATTTTTTGCTTCAATTATTTGTCATCAATTATTTACATCATTGACTTTGTTTTCCTTTTTTCTCATTCTTTGATTTGATTTCCATCATCAACTGAAACACATTTGGAAATGATCGACAAAATTATTTGATATCTGTACTTGATCTAAATTTCTATTCGTATGATCAAACTTATTGCAACATGAAAATGTTTAACATATAACATACAAGTGCGTAGATGTGAAAAAATAAAACTTTTTTCAGCAGCTCGCCGTGACGTTACTTGCCCTGGCAAGTGCGTGTTACGCAGCACGTTTGGAGAACACGTATCTTCCACCTGGTAGCGCAGGAACTGCAGGTGGAGCGGGATTTATCTCAACGCCGAATAGGGGTGGTCCTGGTAGACCAGGACCTGGTGGCCCTGGTATCGGAGGGGGTAATTACCATGGTGGTAAGTTGTTCTAAAACTATCCTCATTTTTTCAACTCTAATTAATTCATAAGAAATGGAAGTATTCTACAATAGATTTTCCAAATCTAAAAAGTATTTATATAAATATAAATTTAAAATATGAAAACAAAAAAGAAAACATAAAATTCAATACTTTACCTCACTGTTTTTAAAAATGTATAAAATTTAACATTCTTATAAATAAATATTTCCCAAATGTATATCGAATCTTGAAGGATTCTGATTTTCTTCTTGGTGGCATCAAAAATACGTAATATTTTAGGTGGTGGCCAAGGAGGTGGTGGAATCAGACCAGGTGGTGGCCAAGGAGGCGGTGGAAGAGGACCTGGAGGTGGAGGAGATATTCCAATCATCTCATTCAATAACGAGAACAGTGGGGATGGCAATTATCAATTCAGCTATGAAACAGGAAATGGTATTAGTGCGCAAGAAACGGGTCAATTGCAAGGTAAGCTATCATCTATTGAAATACAACAACAAAAAAACATACATATAAATACATTCTTTATTTCCCAACTTCAATCTTTGGCTTTCCTTTCGTATTACTGTTATTTTCAAAGTGTTGCATTACATCTTTGCCATTGGCCTCGAACACCATTGTTTCGTTTCGATTCGTAAGTAACCGTGATCGAAGAAAGATGATAGTTTTGGAATAATATTGAAGATACTAACAACGATAACGTAATCTTAAGATGAGACTTCAGGATATGATAGATGATTATGATCTGAAGATAATAAAAAAAAAATCATATTTTTATAGTAAATTTAATGATTAAAAATGTAAATTTTTCATTCAAATGTTTAATAATAGTTTCACAAATAATTTCTAATCGTTATTAGGAAAGTTCTAATTACTGTGAGCAACCTGAAACATATCCAATAACTTTAATAATTATCCCTAATTTGAATTGTTATTTTTTTCTTTAGGAGAGACTGAAGCTGTGAGTGGTTCATTCTCTTACACTGGACCTGACGGTGTTCAATATTCGATCACTTATACTGCCGACGAAGAAGGATTCCATCCACAGGGTGCCCATCTTCCAACACCTCCTCCTATCCCACCGGAAATTCAGCGAGGTGTTGAACTTTCGCTTGCTGCTGAAGCAAGAGGAGAAAATCAAGATGGTGGTGCTGGCGGTGGCGGTGGCGGTGGCTATGGTGGTATGTTTACTTGTTTTCTTTTTTTTTTTTTTATTTTATTCTTATTGTAAAATGTGCATGTAATTATATTATATATATATTAATGAATTAATTTATTTCAAAGAAATACTCACAAAATTTGTCTTCCATGATTTAACAGGAGGTCGTGGAGGTGGTGGTGGACGTGGTGGAGGTGGAGGTTCCTATCAAGGACCAAATTCTTATCAAACGAGTGCAGGTGGGGGCGGTGGATACCAATATTAAACATCACATTCGCAAAAATAACAAGAACGAAGTGATGTCCGCTAGTAAGCTCGTTTTATTGCAACGAATGCATTCTTAAGCGGATCTATGTATATAACAATTTATCGTTTATGCTATTATATATATATATTATTTTTAATTCCTTTTTTTTTCTTTGTATTCATACAAGGAAGATACTCCCCTTTTTCTATTACATTCTTCATACATTATAAACTGCTTCGTTCTAAATTCATAAGCGAAATCGAATTTACGATATGACAATCGTAAATTTTTCAAATGTGAATCACTAGAGCTTACATCTATAATATATCGACAAATCATTATTGTGAAACACACCATTATCATTTTTGATAAATACATTTTTTTAATGAAACATAAGTAAATTCTTTCTAAGATTATACAAAAGTATATATATATATATATATATATATTTATTATGTACACAAGTTTTGTATACATAAACAGAATGTATGTTCTCTGTTCGCATTAATAAATGTGCCGTAATTATAGGTGTATTCGTGTTTGTGATTAATTTTATTACAACACTGTCAAGCTTATTATCACGATGGACGACGTATAACAGCAGTACCGACCATCATATAAATAGATTTATGAAATATAATTTATTTATTTACTTGACTATATATATATATATATAGTATATATCACATATAATAGTTAAGTCGCAATTATTCGTTATTTGGTTGGCTACTGCTTTCCCTTGGCGAATTATCGTAATTAGGCATAGTTATGCCTCTTGCAAATTGAATAAATAATTGCTCGAGTGTCGCCGAAAGTACAGAATAATCTTCTATACATTCAAATCGATTTTTCAAATCGTTCATAGTGCTATACATTTTAGTCCAAGTTGTTGTAGGATCGGTCACGTGGTAAGCAATAAATCCCTAAAAAAAAAAAAAAAAAAATGAGTTACCTTAAAAAATCATGAAAAATAATCGTTACGTCTCTCCCTCGATATAATTACCAAATTTTCATCCCTAATTTCACAAGTTAGAAGGGATTCAATAGTATTCTTTATAATTGTAACATCTTCCTCTGATCGATTTGGATTTAATTTAATAAGAATATCAAAACCAGCGCCAAATCTTTGTTTAAGTTCTTGACTAGCTCCAATACAAACCAATTGTCCTTGTACCATTATGACCAATCGATTACACAAAGCTTCACATTCTTCCATACTAATATATAAACATTAGTTAATATATCAGAAAAATGTTAACGTTGTGAAATAATGTTGTCTACATTTGAAAATGTACAAAAAAAAATACCTATGAGATGTGAGTATAAAAGATTGTCCTACTGCTTGACAAGATTGTATTACAGTCCACAATGATCTTCTAGCTGCTGGATCAACTCCTGTCGTTGGTTCATCCAATAAAACTAATGTAGGACTGCCAATTAATGCCATTGCTATATTCAAACGTCTTTTATTACCACCGCTGTACGTTCCACTAGGTTGTACCGCACATGCTTTCAAATCTGAAAATATTCATTCAAATTAAATATTACAACGATCGATCATAATATATAAGTGAAATCTATTTGTCACTTACTCAATCTAACTATCCATTTATTAACTTCCAAATCTATTTTATTTGGTGGTATGCCTCGAAGTCTTGCGAACAATCTCAAATGATCAAACGAATTCAAAGAATTGATCAATGCGTCCGTTTGCGGACAATATCCCATTTCTGCTAAATACTACAAATAAATTTGTATTTTGTGAATTCTTTAAAAAAAAAACACACACACACACAAATGAGAGTAAACAACGATACTTAATTAAACGTATATAAAATATGATTAATTACAGCTTGACGATTGGAATAAATTTCCGCTTGTTTTAAATACATGGTACCACTGTTAGGTGTTTCTTCTCCAGTCAACATTCTAAACGTAGTACTTTTTCCAGCACCATTAACACCAAGCAATCCAAAACATTCATGCTTCTTAACTCGAAAATTGACTTCCTTTACGGCCATTAATTTTCCATAAGATTTACTTAATTCGTATACTAAGAACAAACTGTTCTCAGATTCAGGAATTTGCGAGTAACCAACAACTGAATTTCCATTGGCATTATAATGTACACTGTTCCTTTTACCTGTATAATTTGTATATAATATTATATAAATATATTTTACATTATATTTTTGTTATCGTATCTAACGTCATATTGTTGGTAGTTTATATGTAACTTTAGCACGGATCATTACCCATATAAGGATTACTAATAATGAAAGCGCGAGAGTATCTTACTTTGACTAGTAATTTTACTGATCTCTAATGCAACCGCATGTTTTTCCTTTTTTACTTCTTCATCCATCTGTAATGTCATCCATCCCATTGCTGACGACGATTTACGTATTTTGCTAAGTAATTTATTAAACAATCTTACAAAAATTCTCTCCTCCAGCATAATAAGAATAGCAAAATATATCACAGGTGTTAAAAATAAGTATAGAATAGTTTCCTCTAACTGAAAGGCCTTTTCAAAATTTCCAATATATGGCATAGGCTTATTACAAACACCATCTACACAATCCATGTCTATGAAAAAGAAAAAAGAAAATAATTAAAATTTGATAAAAATCAAATATATTTATTTATTGTAATAATATATTTATTGGTTCATTTTTTAAAAGTAATGAATTCTTACTGCAACATGGAGTATAAATTCCATTTTTACACTGTTGCTGTAAAATTTTACTTGATAAACGTCGACAATTTGCATTTTTTACAGCCACGGTTAGGAATAACAATTCCCCGTGGAAGAAACTTATATATGGTATTAAAAAGAATAATCGTTGTAAAATCATTTGCATCGTTTCATAATCTTGCAGTATTGTAAATACCAAATATTGTATGAAAACTGTAATTGAATATAACTTTAATATATTATACTAACTCTTTTGTGCTTTTATATATACATATATATATATATTTGAATTACTTGTTTATTTACTTACCAATTCCAATAGGTGTAATACTTAAAATAGTTATTACAGTACTTCTTGATTTGTTAAGGAAACTAAATATGTATGATATAAATATACAATTTAAACCAACGATTACTAGCAATAATATTGTTAATACTGAAAAAAGAAAAAGAAAATCCGATAAATATTATATTAGTATTAAATTTTGAAAGTTACAAAAATATATCAAATATAATACTTACATATTTCTGTTTGACGATATAAACGTATATCTAATATAATATCCATTATGCAAAATCCTAATGTAATGAACAATGAGGATATTATGCAAATTAGAAAATCGAAAAGAAACATGGTGAGCCAATACGACACAGACGTAACTCCAGTCATACGTTGTAACTGTTTAACTTTAGTAGACGTTTCTTGTAACGGATGAATAACAAATAATGCTAAAGTAGGAAATAAAAAGGAACAAAGTGTTAACACTCGTGAAAGTGGTTCCATTTCATACGAAGAAATTGAATTGGGTAATTGTTGTTTAGATATTTCGATGGAATATTTGTTATCCCCAGTTGCATTACGAAGAATGGTATTTGACAAAATATTCATTGTCAGGGGTAAACTATGCATCATCGTTCCAGAATATAAACCATTGGCAGTTATTTCTGAATTATTCGTACTATTAAATTCAGCAGATACAACTACATGATTATGATAATCTGCTATATCCTTTCTACCAAATGATAATAGCTCTACAACAACAACAACAACAACAATAATGTAATAATCTTCTCTTATATACAAATAAATAGAATTTTGTAGGAATAGGTTTACCTTTAAAAATGCTTCCAGTTGCAACATTAATAGCAGTTCCCCAGAATTTCTCAATTATTTCCTTATATCCATTACCATAATCGCTATTATCGGAAGAATAAAATGCCTTGGGATTTCTATACATGTTGAGCGTTAAAGGCGTTATTTCTAACGATTCAGAAGGATTCTTATAACTTAGAACCATGAAAAAAATAGAAACCAAAGGTAGAAATAGCTAGAACAATAAAATGTTTATCGTTAGTTGAAATAATATTTTGATAATTGTATAATAAAATCAATGAAATATGATTAAAAAAAAAGCAAATTCACTTACGATTATAAATAAGATGCCTAGATTTTTGGTAGCGTATATATATTTTTTATTAAACAATGCCAAACATCTCTGTATAATCAATTGATTACCTTGAAGTTTCTGTACAGGTGTAGAAAGATCTGAGAGATCATTTTCACTTTCATCCTTTTTAATAATCCTAAATAAAGTGTTTAACGAAAAAGATAATGAATTAAAACACATTTGTTTTTTTTTTTTTTCGTGGGGTTTGTTAACCCGGGCGCTCACAGTCCTTGGACCATTGTGTGCCCGCCGGGCCCCTTGTGGGGAGAATCTATCATCGTGGTGGTCCTGCGGGCAACCCCCGGCCCTTGTGCGAAACGCAGCAGTCCCCCCCGAGCCCACCAAGTCGAATGTTGGCGGTGGTCCCAAGGATATCATTTGTGACGCCCGCGAGCCCAAAGCCACGACGACGACGATGAGCAGGCATGTCCCCTCGTTCGATGTCAAAGAGCAGGGAGACTCGAACCCGCGAAAACTTTGGGTGGGAGTCGAACGCTCTGCCGACTGAGCCATGCCCGTGCTCATAATTAAACACATACAGATAAATGTATTAACATTTATTTTGAACTTACTTCAAAAATACTTGTTCCAATGTAATCAATGATACATTAATTCCAGTTACACCTAATGTTTTCTTTTCTCTTTCAATTTGATCCAAGGAATCTGGTAAATTTTCCGTATACGGTACACTTAAAATAATTTTGTCATTTTCAATATTAATTTGTGTTCCTAAATCAAACTTATTAACAACTTTCTCCGGATTGCACCATGATTTAATAGATAACGTAACTTCTACGAATCCATGACCTGTAAAAAATAATAACAATCATTTCATTAACAATAAATCATCAAAAGTAATAAAAATAAAGCGAACAATTACCATACTGTTTCTTCAAAAACATTGATGTACCATAACTTCTTAAAAGACCACCATGTACAATGGCAATTCTATCACCAAGTATATCAGCTTCTTCCATATTATGTGTACTTATTATTATTGTCTTTTTACCCCTCATTTTCTATTAAAAAAAATAAATAAATAAAACGTATAAATAAAAATCATAATAATAAGATAAAATGATAAAAGAAATATTTCTATGTAAATTACCAATAACATTTCCCAAGTGTCTCTTCTCGTTTCAGGATCCATACCGGATGTTGGTTCATCCAAAATGAATGTCTATAATAATAAATAATTCAAATTATAACACATAAATAAAAACAATTAATGAAATATAAAAGTAAAAAAAGAAATAAATGCATACACTAGCATCACCAATGAGTGCCATTCCAAGACAAACACGTCTCTTTTGACCACCAGACAATTTGGTGGGAAGACAATTTCGTTTTTCACTTAATTTTAATTTAGCAAGCAAATTCTCAACATTGCGTTTGATTTCAACTCGTGTTTTATGTTTATTTTTTAACTGTAACAATATACATATATATGTGTATTAAAAATATTAGTTTTATATTATATAACGATGTTTACTTACCAAACCGAAGAATTCAATCTGTTGGAACACATTTAAATCTGGAAAAACAATATTTTCTTGAGGACATAGACCTAAATCGTTTCTAATCTCACTCAAATGATTTTTCAAATTTTTCCCATTTATAAAAATTTTTCCTTCAGTCTCAGCTGTAACGCCTAAAGAAATAACAATATTTTTTTAGTATTAAAATCACTCATATATATATATTATAGTAATTCTATTTTATTTATTAAGAATTATCAATGAACCTGTTATTATTGACATAAGAGTAGTCTTTCCAGCACCATTATGTCCTAACAGTGCAGTTATTTGTCCTTTGTAAAAATCTATAGATACTCCTTTTAATGCATGTACCAACTGAAATAATTGAAAACACCATGATGAGTCATTTTCTAATGAAAGAAAAAAAAGGAAGAAAAATACTTACAGATTTACGCAATAAACCGGTGTTGTAAACTTTTTTAAGACCACGAATTTGAATACCAGGTGTAAGTACACCTTTAGAAACAGCTTCAAAATCTTCACCACTTAATTCCTCGTAATCATAATCCTCTGCTTCTTCGTCTAACGACACTTTATTTTTTCTAATGCACTAAAAAAATTGTTTCACTCGTTACTTATTATGAAATGATATATTTATTATAATAGATCATTCATACTAGATTGTCATTGTTTTTGTAAATATCATTGTTGTTCACCTGTAGAAAATATAATGGATGTTTCTTAACGCCATATTTTCCTGGTCGCAAGTTATTTATATAAACTGCCATTAGAAAATGAAATATAGTTCCCAAAATAGAAAATATAAATATGAATCCTGTACTTCCTGTAATATTGTATTGAGATGATTCGCTAGGTATAAAAATGTTGCTCCATCTAATTCCAATTACTAAAAAGAAAGATAATAATAATAATAATAATAATATATATTCGTTAGATAATTTTTCTATTATGTATGTAAATGAAAAAATATTTCATTAAACACGTACACTGTGTTTCGTATGTATTAACTTCTTCTAATAATCTTGACAATAAAAGATTTGGTAAAAATATACCAAGATACGGTATAGAATTGAACATATTTTCTTTGACCAAATTTTCGTAAAGAGAAGACGAAGCACTATATATAACTGATAAAATTATAATCACAAAAACAGCTGAAAAAATAAATCATTGTTAATAAGACAATACAATATATATATATATATATATCCTGTATAATGTCACACACATATTTTACATATAATATAATAAAATATACTCTAAGGACTTACGTTTAGCAAAGTATGCTGCAACATGCATACCAAATGAAATAAGATGAATAATGTGTATAGTCATTAATATCCAAAATAAAAATGCATCACTATAATATAAATATGGATTAACATGATTAGAGAATGTATTTTTAAATAATACTATTAACGGTATAATATAAAAGATACTGAAAATACAGCCAGTGGTAAGCCAGCTTAATAAATTTTGATACAATTTCACTCCGTTCATTGCCATTAATGTCTACAAATAAATGTTAACAATTTGTATTAACAATAAAATATAATATAAATGATATTTACATTCTATAGTTACTTACATTAACACCAATGAACTTTTCTCTAGCTGTATAATTAATTTCTACGCAGAGTGGCATTAAAAATATGGCAACAGCAAATACTAAAATTATTTGTCGCAATACTTTGTCATTCTCATTTGTTTTAATATATGGAGGATAGGGCATTCTTTGTATGAAAATCTGTTTAAAAAAAGAATTATTATTATGAAATAATACATAGAATTTAATTAACTATCAGATAGAAACGAAATATCTAATTTACCTTTGGTTGAAATGAATTAGTAGTCTTGTTTATAAAAGTTCTATCAATACACATTTGTAATTGTACAAATGGAATTTGTTCAAGATAACTGTGTTCTATATTCAAATAAGACATATCTGTATATAATTGGGAAGGAATTCGCGTAGAATGTCTTATTTTATATTTGAATTTTTTCCCTTCTTCATTTTTATCTATAACAATTGCCAAAACATCGTCAAATCTATTTTGAATTTGATTAATCGTGTAAGCATCAAGCATATCTTCCTCTGTTGCAAATCCAACAAATTCTGAAAAATGCGAATATTCGTTAATATGTTACTTAAAACAATCAAATATATGTATAATAAAATATATTTACTTTCTGTATGTTGTAAACACCAAGCTGTTGATTTCATAAATTCTTCAGTAGATGGATCATTCGGTACAAAATATATTTTAATGAAACTTCTCTTGACATTATCTAACAATTGATCTTCGCTCTTTAAAGGATAATAAGTATCTGTTGTAATGACTAATGGTGGATCTGAATTAAGATCTCTTAAGGCTTGCATTAAAGCGAACAATACTATAGGCAATAGTATTTGAATGAATAAGGTCACTTTCCAATGCATTAATCGTACTATGAAATTCTTACGTAGTAATAAACCAAATATTCTACACCATTCGCTCATTTTGTTAACGTTATTGCAAAGACACATACACTATGAAATATATATATATATATATAAATGTGCAATATGCCTTATTTTTTTTTTTTTGGTAAAAATTAGAGTAAGTGTCGGTAGGTAAAGTTACAGTCTGCTTGCTTGTATATCTGCAACAAAAAAGTTTATGAAAGTAAAGAGAATAATTTAAACATATTGACGTGTAAATCCATACTAACTTTTGTTTTCCAAGTAACACGAATGGATTAACAATATGACCTTATGCACAGACTATAAATCAAGGTAACACGACAGCAGTAGGTTGTATTCTTTATTCACTTTCATTCTATCTTCGAAATATTATTTATAAAATGTCCAAATATCTATCTGAAAAAAAAGATTATTGTTTTTCAATTAATACACCACCAATACAAGTCTGAAAAAATTCTGTGAGTGTGTATAAAAATCTGATATGTCATCATTTTATGTATATAAATATATTTAAAGCTTTATATTAATATCATGTAAAAATTGAAAGATAACAGATTTTCTTTAAACAAACAATTGTTCCCTGTAACATCTTCATAATTTATCTAATCTAATCTAATCTAATATTTCAATCTACTATTAGGAAGAAACAGAAAAGATTTTTATCCGAAAATATAATCTCATATCTCAATGCCACAAACGAAATGTGCGTGCAAATTTAGATCAAAAAAGAAAAGAAAAAAAAAAAGTAAAATACATTTATTGATTACCATGTCTACTTCCCATTTCCAAAAACATATTCTATCTAATGTTTTTCAAATGACAACTAGAATGACAACGTTTTAAATGGAATGATATAATAAATATAAATAAATAATATATTTGTATTAATATATCAATAAAAATATATTATATCAATGATAAAAAAAACAAAAATGACAGGTATGAAACAAATGAATAAAGATATGAAATATTAGGTGGTTCGGAAAGTCATTTCGTTTTTTGCTGTACACAATAATGACATTAGTTGATGCAAACTGACAAAGAGTAACACATGAGAGCGATGAGAGGTTAAATTTATCAAATTCAAAGATTTAACCTAGAAGTAAAAATTGTCTTCATTTTTACAAAAGAAAAAGGAAACGACTTTCCTCACTTTCACCTAATATTATGACATTACTTATAACGTAAAATATTACCGTGAATGAGCACGTAGAAGAAATGAGTAGAATAAATTACACAAATAAACAATGAAAACTAATTGAACCATAATCACAATGTTGCTTATATAATAAAAAAAAAACAAATGACAGCTTATTAAAAAATTGCAGGAAAATGACAATTCCTTATCATATCGTATAGTAACATTATATTGATAGAACGATTCTTATCAAAAAAGAAAAATAAAATGTAAGACAAACACAATTGAATATCGTATGACAAACCCTTCTCCAAATTATGCATCATTCGTTATCACTATAAGCTAACACAGTACATTACATTATGTTAATGACATATACACGTAAGAGTTTTTTAATCGATATATATATGTATATATATATATATATTGTTCTCGCGTTTCAAATGCGCTCGATATGAAATTATCCAATCACAATTAAATGAAGAAGTATCGACCAATAGAATGAGAGTATCGAACGGAGTGAATATTCTCTAACAGATGATTGGTCAAATCTAATAAATGCATTTCTTGCGATATAAACCTTAAACTAAATAACGCTTATTCAAAAGGGATTTATTTGAATTAATGATATTTCATAATTTTTGACAATTTATTAATATGGCGTAACAACTGTTGAACACTATTAATGTCATAACGGTGTTGTAAATTAAACTTGTTGTATATCAAGATCTAACCGTTCTTAAGTAAATTATTGAACTCAAAACCGGACTTTTACACATTTCGAGAAAGTCGAAGAAAATCCGTTAAAAATAAACCTGTCGTAACGTTCAGTAAGGATGTGAATGTGTTTTTGTGCGCACATATGGAAATGTTTTCTACATATATATCTGCAGGAGGTTATAATTATTTCTATTATAATAGATAATAATTCTTCGAGTAAGAATAATCTGATATGATATTTTAAAATCAATCGTGGCTTATTTTTTTTTGTTGCTTTCAAAGATTAAAAAAAAAAAAAAAAAAAAAAATAAGAAAAACAAATTGTATTATGTGCAATATGTACATCTTTATTACTATTGATACAATATTATAATTTGTTGTGGTGTTTGTTTGCTAATTTTNGTTTTTGTGCGCACATATGGAAATGTTTTCTACATATATATCTGCAGGAGGTTATAATTATTTCTATTATAATAGATAATAATTCTTCGAGTAAGGTTGGCTTACTTTCGTCGTTAAAAATTCAACGATCGATAAATATAAATGATGATAATTAAAAAAAAAAAAAAAAAGAATAAGAAAAACAAATTGTATTATGTGCAATATGTACATCTTTATTACTATTGATACAATATTATAATTTGTTGTGGTGTTTGTTTGCTAATTTTGTGTGCGTGCGTGCGTGCGTGTGTGTTTTTAAATATGTTTGAAATGGCCATGGATTGTTGTTACTTAGAACAAAATGAAGATACAGGTATGGAGGAGGTATTTCCAAATGTATCTAGTCCAGAGATGTTTGACAGTGATATTGAAAATGAGCAAAACGAGCAACAAGAAATAACATCTTTAAACAAAGATACATTGATTAAAACTAGTCCAGAAAAACCTTCTATAGCTACACTTATTACTAAGTCTGACAATTATCTGCTGGCCAGAATCAATAAATATTTAACTGGAGTTCCTCCACCCCCAAGTCACACTATTAGTCAAAGCAATTGTAATGACTTGTTGCATTATATTCAACAAAATCGTCAATACTTTTGGACAGCCTCTCCCATAAAGGAAGAGAATAATGTTAGACAAGAAGAAAACATTGACAAATCCTTTAATCAAGGAACATTAGAAAACAACGAGAGATTTTCATTTTATAAAACCAATAGTACCCAGAGAAATTTGACTAGTGCTTTTGATGAATGCGACTCGCAAACAAATAATATCACTAACGAGGTTAATATACATAACCATTTAATCTTAATAATGTATTACAAATAATAATGGTGTTATAATATAATAATATTATTTGTAGAATAAATCTTCAATCCTTTACAATTCGGTTGATGAAAATGAAGTTAAAAATATGCCATGGTCTGAAGCGTATTTTCACAAATGTCATGGTATCTAGTAAGTATAAATAATGTTTCTTATATTAATAATATTTAAACATTGTTATATTTTGTCACATTTGATATATTTCAGTTATAACAGAAGTAATACGATAGAAGAGTTTGAAAATTTAACAATAAAACTATGTGGAAGGTATATAGGAGCAGAAACACAATCTACGTGTAATGTATTCTTTTCTAAACAAGGACCTGGAAGTCCTATAAAAAAAAGCATTCTAGCTAAACGTAATTATGGTCAAAGTCCGGGTAAAAGGTTAAGTCATTTGACTCGCAGAAGGAGAACATTTTCAAGTGCAAATTTGCAAGGCTTAAATCTCAATGATAAAAGACAATTGATATTAACTGCTAAGTACGTTTCTTTTATCTTTGTTTGATATACAATTGAAAAATAATTTATTTTTTTTTAACTATTTGTTAAAAAAAAATTCTCTCTTTATAGAAGACCATCAACTAGAAAACTTAAAAGTCCTAGAGGCAAAAGCCCGAGATATAAAAGTCCTAGAGGTAAAAGTCCAAGAGGTAAAAGTCCAAGAGGTAAAAGTCCTAGAGGATCGGCAAAGAAAAAAGTAGTTAGAAGGCTTACTTTAGAAAATACAAGTCCACTTAAAACTAAATTAGATACATCAAGACGAGCTCTATTCCAAAGTCCAACCTTAGACAAGGCAGGACCGAGTAAATTGTTCAATTGCAATAATGCTAATAATCCACATACAATTAAACGTGCCTTATTTCCTACGTCTAAGAAGAATGAAGATGTTTTAATGGAAGATATCAAAGCGATTAATTATGTCGAAGAATCTAGAAAGAGAAAGAGTGAAGAAGAATTGGAAGGACCTCGTTTCAAATGGGCAAAGAGTTTATCGTTCGACTGTCCTTACGAATTACAAAATTCATCTGTACATTCGTGGGATCGTGAAAGGCATTCTTCTGGAAACGTTTTACAGCAACACGAAATACCTGTTACTATGAGAAAAGGTGTACTTAGTGATACACATAGAAAGGTAAAATAATACTTCCATCTTATTAATTTATTTCTGCGTATATTAGTTTATATTTGATATTTCATTATATTTATTATTATTTTTAGAAATTATTATGGGCTGTAGCAGAAGCGTTACGAGGTAGAGGGATTGGTATGAGCCATCCGCTATTTAAACAGTACGCTTCTAATCTAGCGCGTACTGTTAGAAAATTAATGCCCGATTTAGAAAATAAAAATATATCAAGAAAACCAGGCAGTACAAGTGATCGTATGTTAAAGATAGCCAAACACCACGCTCTTCTTATAATAGATACAAGGACTGTGGAATGAATGACTGTACTTTTTAGTATAAATAAAAAATATATATATATATATATATTAATTGTTTTTAAAAACAACAGAAAAAGAAGAAACAAGTACGAGCTTATTAAATGCTAATTCGATACTTTTAAACATAATGGAAAAGGACTTTTTTTTAATTATTTCACGTGATTAAATGTGATGATCAAATATATATTAATAAGATTTACATCATTTCTTTTTTTTTTTTTTTTCACTAAAAATCATATATTTTATACTGTATAAATGTAAAAGAAAGGTTCTCCTAAAAATCTCACAGTGTATATATTAGAATAATTGTATCCTGGACGGGATATATTTACGTATTTTATACATATATATATATATATATATAATAAAATATTATATCATATATATATATTTATATAAAGATTTGTAAATGAATTAAAGTGATGGAATAAATTACATATTCATCGAAGAAAAGTAAAAAAAAGAAAAAAAGAAAAAAAAAGCACAATTTTCGAGAAGAATCAATTGAAATTTTTGTTCATTTAAAAGATGATAAACTTTTGTTTAATACTCTTCAAAGTGTGACTTTATAATTTTCTATTACTAAGAATAACGAATGATAGAAATATTATCTTGTGACGTAAAACAAAAAAAAAAACATCGAATTAAAAGTTTCAAAGTTATAAATTTAACTAATTTATAATATTCGAATGAATTAAAAAAAAAAAAAAAACAATTATATATCTAAATTTAACTTTAATTCGAAAGTTCTCTTATTCTTATTAAATAAGGACTTTGGTAACGAGACAAGTAAAAAGTTGATAAAATATTAAGTAAGATTTGTTGCACACACACACACACAAAATTGTTACATAAATTGTTGTTTTCTTCTATTTTAAAGTGATACCTTTGCTTTATTATTTATAAATTATGAAATATACAATTTTTTATTGCCAATATATATCAATTTTATTTAACCCGTATGAAATACTTTTGATTGGGGGGATAGAATTGATATTTATTGGCATTCAATTATATATATATATACATACATATATATATATATATATCGATAAATAGATTAATATATGCTTTAGTGATATATCTAGCGTAAGTTCTTTATATATATATATATTTAATATGATTAAGGCGAGTAAAAAAATAAAGACTAATAAAGAGAGGGAAGAAATAAAGAAAGACTAATACAGACTAATTGCGACAAGGGGGATGTGGTATTTCAGGAGAATATATTAAATTAATTTCTATTATAAAATTCTTGTTAGTTCTCCTTCTCCTCCTCCGCCTTCTCCTGCTTCTTATTCTTATTCTGCATTTTGACGACCACCAACCCTAGCAATCAATTCATCTAATATCTGTGTGAGTTCTTTGTTTTCCTTCGTTTTTTGCTCAACTATCTCAGCTAGTGAATTACTCTTCAATTCTGCTTTTCTCACCATCGCGTGTAATTTTACCGTCTCGGATTCGTGTTGTTTTTGTATATCCACTAATTCCAAATTAGCCCTGTAAACAATAAATTTTGTTATTAATTTAAAAAAAAAAAACCGATGAACTTTTTACTTTTTTTGAAAAATTAATTTCTTATATATTTTATTTTGGTTGTTGTTGTCTTCTCTTCTCTTACTTTCTTAATTGCGACATGGCATGAGTTTTCAATTGATCGTAACGATTTTCTAATGACTTGATCGTTTCTAAGTTTTCTTGTATACTCTCTTTCAAAACACTTTCGTTATTTTTATAAGCTGAAACGACACCCTTAAGTCTTTCATATTTCAAATGAACGTCATTAAATGCAGCTTCGGTATTGCTAAGATGAAGATTAGTAGCTTGAAGCTCTTCTTGTATTCGAGCTTTTTCTTGCTCCAAATTAGCATGATCTCTTTCCTTTTCAGTTAATAATCGACTTATCGACTTTTCATATTCGTCTACGACAACTCTGTGTAAAAAAAAAGAATATATATATATATTATTTTTAATTTTTCAAATGACATTTATTTGTTTATATAAATAATAATAATAATAATAAATATTAATAATTGTGAAGAATAACTCACGCTAATTGATTTTTATTCTCAATTTCTTCGTTCAATTGAGCTTGCAATTTTGTGATTTTTTCTTGAGAAGTTGCCTTTTGTTTTTCCAATTTACATTCATATTCCGTTTTCTGTTTTTCCAATTCTTTTTCCAATTGTGACACAGTTGCACGTAATAAATCCAATTTTTCCGTTCCGTCTATATTTTCCACTTCTTTCGTATCAGATTTAGTTACTTGTAAAGGTTCATCCTTAAATAGATATAGATAAAAGTAAAAAATAAGTTTCATTTATAAAAAAGAAAAAAAAAAAAAGAAATGAATAATTTATAAAATACACTTACATTTTTGTCTTGAATCTCTTCTAATTTGTGTATCGTACCGCTGGTAGGAGTACTAAAAACTTGACTATTTCCTTGAGGTAACATACTGGTGTTTGCTAACAAAGGATCAAATTTAACAAACAAGGATTCATTCCTAAGGCGATTTGAACTTTCTGAATTTCCTCTTGCCGAAAGAAAATCAAAAGTCGTCGGATCATGGAATACTGAAAATGATGATGAATTTTGTTCAATTATTTCCAAATATTTTTCAATAATAATTAAAACCTTTGCTTACCACCCTTTCTGGGGTAACAACACGCTTACCACACTCGGGTCTTTTGGACCCGGGTGAGAAAAATTGTTATAAACAAAAAAACTATTGCGTAGATTTACTTCAACATTTTTTTTTTGAAACTTCTTTAATACTTACTTAAAAAGACTATATAGATTTTATAGCTTTAAATTAAATTTAAATATGTTTAAAAAATTATCGAAGTTGAACAATTGAGAAAAATGACTCAAGTTGCAATAAAAGGTCTGGGCTCGTTTGAACCAAGTGTGAATAAGCAAAGATTAAAATACGTATTTTTATACACAATTTGTCAAACTTACTTTCTAACACTGGATTAGAAATATCATCTTCAAATTCTAAAGGTGATTTTAAAATGTCATCTGCAATTTCTCCTGCCGCTAATTCTAATTTTTCCAAAGAACAACAGATATCATCATTATCATTATCATCATTTTTGTTAGTCAATGTAGTACTCTGTCTTTGTGGTTTAAATTCTTCGTAATTAAATTCAATGTGTTCAACTTCGTTTATGGGATCGTTATTTAAGAAAATGTCATCAGTTAAAGTTAACGTTTCATCCAATATTTCATCCTTACTTGTACTTTTGATATTATTATCATCAACACCATCTAATTCATCGATATTCTTTTCAATTAGATTTTCCTCGTTTACTTTATTATTTTTATCTGTTTTAGTTTGATTGAAATCATTCAATTCTGTTTCTTCACTTTCATTTACATTATTAGTTGAATCGATTTTATTATTATTATTATTATTATTTTCATTTACATTAAATGTTACATCATATTTATTATCATTAACATTTAATTTCGTATTAATCAATTGTTCATATAATTTGTCAGTTGTATCGATTTGTTTATCTTCCTTTCTTTCAAATGTTACATCTGTTTTATCTTCTTTTATATTAATTGTCGTATCAATTTTATGCTCATGTATTATATTAATTGTCGTATCAATTTCATTTTCATCTATATTAATAGTTGTATCAATTTCATGATCAGCTACATTAATAGTCGTATCAATGTTATTATCATCTATATTAATTGTTTTATCAATTTCATGTTCATTTATATTATTTTTTATTACATCAATGTTATTTCTATCCGTTTTATTTTCATCTCTATCATCAGATTTAATATTTTCATTAACAATATTGGTAACTATTTGATCAATAATACAAGTATTATTTGTTGTATCTATTTCACTTTTGTCTGTATTACTTAAATCAACTTCTTGTGTGATTTTATTACACGTATCTGTTTCCTTATCATTGATATTATTACATAAATGTTCAACTTTGTCTTCCTCTACGTTGTTACTGCAATCAACAGGAGTAGTTGATCTTGGTGTAGATGTTTCTAAAGTAAGTTGTACACTTTCAACTTGATATTCTTTTAATTCCTCTTTACTTTCTTCTACATTGCCAGCAATGTCTTCCTTCGTAAAAGATATATCTGTTTTCAAGTGTAAAGATTCTTGAGATGTATTATTACAAGTTAAATGATCTACAAGTAATTCTTCTTCTGTTTGAGAAGGATTAATAATAACAGGTGTTGCTGAACCATTTTCTAGCGTACATGTCTCATTTAAATGACCATTGATAGGTGTTTTCTCATCTATGAAAACATCAGTATCATCGATGGCTGAGTTGAAAGTTTGAATCAAAGTGTCATTGGGTGATTCATAAATAGAATTACAAGATGAGACTTCTTCTGTATTACAATCGAGTTGAATATCTGCATAGGCACGAATCAGATCATTGACACCAGGTATATTACTGTCCACATAGGAAGTGTCTGAGACCTTGTATAGTGGAGAATTGGTGTTGTCATCGATATCAGAATTGATACCACTGGTTTTGGTACTTTGAATACTACCGATACTGTAATAACTGCTCTCTGAAGAGAAACTTTCCGGTGTGGAATACGTCACCAAGTCAGCATCCGCAAATTCACGCGCGAAACGCACCTTCACCTCGTGTTCGGCTGCAGCCTTGGAGAAAGTGTTGTTGGTTGTGTCGTTTCCAATCTAAAATCAATGAGGAAAAATAAATGTGAATAAAAGACTTTCAAATTGAAAAAAGTAATGACCAAAATAAAGAGAAGAGAAGAGAGGAGAGGAGAATGAATGAATGAATGAATGAATGAATGAATGAATGAAGAGAAATGTAAGCAATCTAAAAATCTTTATCACAACGTTCTCCTACGGTTTTCTTCAAAACAGTTGCAGAATGGACAATGATAATGTTGTCAAATGGATGATATTATTGATACCTCGGATACAGGCGTTGAGGAAGATGCTGATGAATTTGCAGGAGAACGATGTAAGAGTCTGTTGATGTACTCCATAACAACAACGTGTTTATCAGCAAGCACAAACAACACTGTGCTAATTGAATCCGTGGGAAGAGAAAAAGAGAAGGGGGGAAAGACCAAAAAAGGAGAAATAGAGAATGATGAAGTTCACAGCGTTGTCTACCTCTGTTCACTGGGCCGACAATAACGGTGTACCAACCAGAAAGAGAATCAGCTGACTTTGAAACTCGATAGGGCAACGTAGCAATGTCTCGAGAGATGATTTTGTTAGAAAGAATTGCGCAACACACCAATATACACAGTAGTGTGTAGCCGCGAAATATGCGTTTCGCTCGTTCTAATAATAAATATATTTCACAGGGAGAGAAAGTTTTATCCACGATAGAAATCCTGTCAGTCTCGTTATAGTTCGAGATCGTTTACAAGTTGTTAGCAACATTATTTTTCTTTCAACGTTATCCGGCAGTATTTTATATCCTTAAATAAGAAACGTACCTTGCTAAAGGATTATTCTTTTTTTTTTTTTATTACAGTGGATACTTGGAAAAGTGATTTTTATGTGTGAACATTTAAAGGCAAGTATTTATATACATATATTATTATTATTTTGTATGTATAATAATTAATTACGGAATAATGTTTTTATTAATAATTTATAAAAAAAAAAGGTATTTATAAATTGGTGTGTATATATATATATATTCAAATCACACACGATTTGCGCGCGTCCATATATGTATATAAATACCGAGAGATAGAACACGCATGTGTATACACGTACGCATGTATGAACGCACGCACGCACGCACGCACAAAATAGAACTCCCCTATTCGCGAGAAACTTTGTCTTCAACTTTACTTGGTAAATGGTATTTAAAAAGAAACACCATTTAAAATACGATGTGTTCAATTAAGATCCTTTCTTTCTTTTTTTCTTTTGCGCGCACGACGACGATTACCTTGTGAAAAAGATTGCCCATCTTTTCACTTTTAAAGTAGCTTCTCTTTTGAGCAAAGTCTTCAAGTTCTTTCCGTATTTATCACTTTCCTTCCTCTTCTTTTAACTCACGGAACCCCACGAAGTTTAGAAAAAAAAAAAAAAAAGAAATAGAAAAGAGAAGTCATTCCCCTTTTCTTCTTTCTCTAGATAGATATTTGTTCTTCTTTTATATTTGATCGCACCACCGTTGTTCCTGACAAAATAAGAATCACCGAACGGTGCTTACGAACTGTCAGCTTAGCATTCGAAACTGGCATACCAATTTTTTTTTTTTCAAACGCGTTCTCGCGCCCTTCCGGTATTATTTATTTGGTTGGTTACTTGCTACGCGTCGACGACACCACTTCCGTCGTAGCCATTTTTTTTCTTTTTTTTTTTTTCCTACTTAATCGATGCAGTCTTAATTAAATATGCGGATCTTATTTCGAAAGGATACGTCAAGGTCAAGAAAACACCGAAACATGACATTGTTTGATTCGTAAGTACGCCGCTAACATTTGAATTTCGCGCCTAATAATAATTCACATCAAATGTTTCACTAATGATGGTTGTGTTTTTTTTTTTCTTTTTCACGAATATTGTTAACGATATATTGCAATGAATAGTTTAAACATGAATACTAAACAAAGAAAAATAACATTAGAATAAAGTTTGACATATTAAATTGTAAAATTTGTTCAATGCGCAAAAATTCATATTTCGCGCCACACTCATTTAAATCTTAATTTGACATCGATCGCTGTCATCAATATAATGTTTCGATAATGTCTTTTAATTTTATTTTTGAACGAATATTATTATAATATATATATATTTCAATGAATGAATCATGAACTTTAAATGATAGACGAATCAAAAAAAAAAAAAAGTATTTATAAATATTGAAACGATAAGAAAATTCGAAATAATCGTCGAGTTTTTTTCCACAACTGCGGAATAATATAATGACGTGATAGGTGGCGCTAGTATTCTTTGGAGAGAGAGAGAGAGAGAAAAAAAAGTGGGACACTACAGCTGTTTTATACGTTAAAGGATTTTATGAAACTACTACGATGCTGTAGAAGAATACGCATTTTCTCGTTAACCTCTTTATTTGTGACTTATAAATATCGATTAGATATAAATAAAAGGTTTTTTTTTTCATCTGCTTAAAGAATTAATTGTTAAATAAAGAATAATTATTATTTCGAAGAAAACAAAGGTAAAAACAATTTGTAGACGAAAGAAATAAATTGGCTCTTGTTTTTTTTTGTTTTTTTTGGTGGATTACGTAAAACTGCAGATAAGGAGAATGGTTATTATGCGAAAAGATAATAAAACATAAGTCAATCATGTAAAAATAACTCGAATATTTGTTCAGTTTATTCATTTAATAGAAAAGAGTTAATTGAAATTGTAAAAGAAAAGAAAGCCTTGATACTTTAACCTATATATTTTAGTCCTAGGTCAATGTAATTAAAGGATCAATAAAATCTTTCGAATGGCAGCAGTGAACATTTCGAAGAAACAAAGGAAATATTTCATTACAATGTTAACACGAATTAATCTACAGTACGTAAGTATATAAGTAAACCCCTAGATATGATGACATCACAGGAGAAAAGAAAATGAGTCATATGCCATCCTACTCAGATGATAGACCAATTTCCATTATTGGCGTATAAAAGAAGAAAATCAAATTCAAAGATGACACCGATAGACAGATGATTGACAAGCACCAAAAAGACAAACAAACAAACAAAAAAAGACAAAAAACGGCATGAACGAACCAATGTGACAAATTATAATTCGTCCAAATGCAATGAGACAACAATGATTTCTGAATTATAAATATATATATAAAAAGAAAAAACAATTGGATGATCATTTACCTTAATTTTTAGATGATCCTAAAACAGAATGTCGACGATCCCAGAACTTGACCCAACAGCAGCGAGCAAGGGAGAGAGAGAGAGAATATTCGTAAGTAAGTAAGTAAGTAAGTAAGTAAATAAGTAGCAAGTATAAGTACAAGAAGAGTACTTAGGTAGAAGAATGTATATAATATAAGGTAGAATGTATGTATGTGAAAACTAGTGGCTTGGAGTGCGCGCGCGACACGAACGCGCGTTCAAATACGAAGATCTGTTCGGGTCTGTTCGGCTGTTGTGGGGGAATCGATTCTTCTACAAGCCCTCGAAGTTCGAGAGACTCGCGCTCCTTATTCGGAGCGTTCTTGACATCAAATCACGAATACGATGACCAACAACGACGTACAAACTGCAGTAGAGTAAAGTAAAGTTAAGTAAAGTAAGTATTTAAATAACAACAGCAACAGCAACTGCAACTGCAACTGCAACTGCAGCAGCAGCAGCAGCAGTCAACGAAGAGTAAACGAAGTAGTAAACGAAGAGATGGTGCATGAGTCATTCCCCATTTGCACCAAAAGGAACAACTACAACCTCCACTTTCCTCATCCTGTTCCTCCTTCTCCACCACCTTCAATTCCTACTTGCTATCCAGACATGATGCAGCAACACCAAGGGGAAAAGAGAGAGGAAAAGAAGTGGATGAAGATAGGCCTTGTCTTAAAAGGGGTGTATGTTGGATATACAATTGACTCTAAAGACATTTAATTCTATTCGAGAGAATTATTTCACCTATTCTGCAGATAAATCATACACAATTTCTTTTTCTTTTTTTAAATAAAATTACTTTCAGTTTATTTTCGTTATGTAAGAAATAAAGCATGTTAGAAGGTATGTATGTATGTATGTATGCATTTGTATGAAGACAGATAATATGCCAGATGTCTTCCTCGACTGCAATAAATTTTAATCAACAGTGTCCTGACAGTTAGATTAATATCAAGAGAAAGAGAGAAAAAGAATTTGAATTAATTCAAAATGAAGTTTAATTGAAAAAGAGAGAGAGAGAGAGTGAATGAATGAATGTAGGCGTTTGGTATAACTGAAGAACTGACAAAAAGAAAAAAAAAGATAAACAATTGAAAGGGACATCTTCGATCAGACTGCACACCTGTGCACCACACAACCTTCGATCCGTGTATACGGTTCTCTTCCTGATTCGTCTTCTAATATTAGAATTCGCATAGCGTATCGGCTGACTACTATGCAAGTATGAGAGGGAGAGAAGGAAAGTACGTCGGCCGCAAAAGAAAGGGGAGAGGGGGGAGAGAGAAAGAGAACAGATATAGAAGAAAAACGACAAGGAAGATAACGAAGGTAGTGGTCGTCGTATGGTAACGATAGTGGTGGGAGGAAGAAAGAGAAGGGGTGGGGCGGGGCGGGGCGCGATTCGATCGCTCACCTTTCGTTCCTCGTGTTATCGAAAATTTGTTCCTGTCTCTCTTTCTGTACGCAAGTAAATATACGTGCGTGCGTGATGCACATATAACACGTTTGCAACGTGTTCTCTCGCGTGCAAAAGTAGCCGCTGAAAGATCCGCGCGGCGCGCGCGCGCGCGCCTCAATATTTTTTTATTGTCTCCTCTTCGTTGTCCCTTCTTCGTCTTCTTGTTTATTCAATTGTTCGTTATTTAAACCCGACGATTAATTGTATGTTACATATATGTATGTATTACGCGTACGTTGAAATATTGTCACGTTAAACGACGTAAATATATTACCCGAGTTCGTGCTAAGAAGCCGCTCCTTTTACTTGTCGTCGTCGTCGTCGTCGCTTCGACGACGTTCTTCACAGCACGCAACTCAAAGCGCGCACACGCCGTATCACCCGGAGATCACCGAAGATAGAAAGGTGGTAGGGGGAGTGCACCGAACAAAATATCCCCCCGCGAACCTAACGCCATCTTCATCATTTGCATGCGTCGATAACATATTGTTTTAGTCGTGCAGCGTATTATCATCGGTCGGTAATTTGTTTTCGTTTCTTATGGTAATTACTCGTAGATACTTTTTAAAAACATATATATATTGTTTTGATTTTCATTTACGTAGAGAAAGAATTTTTCATTCAACTTATATTCTGAACACATGATTTTACATTTCTTTTTTTTCTTCTTACAAGATATTTATTAAGACAAATATTTGTAATTATTCATAAGAATCGAAGAGAAGAAAAATCAAATTGTTAGACAATTAAATGTGAAACAATTTCTGAACTAATTTTATTCCGAATAAAAAATAGACATTTTTCTTAGAAATATTTTAACCCCGATTGTCTTTCGTCACATGTCAAACAAATTAGCTTTACTTTTACAATAGAAGCACACGGTTAATCGCATGACATTTCAGCTCGTACCGAAGGGTAAATCCGAATTAGCACAAAACACATTCTATTCTACCCCCACCTTTTATCCTCATTCTAAATACTTTAACACGTTTACCTAGATTAACTGTCTCATTGACGAAGTTACATAAACAAAATAAATAACAAATCATTTTTTTTTTGGTTTCAATTATCACATACTTATAATTAAATCAAATTGACATAACTATAAATATTAAATAAATAAATTGCTCGACATATGCATATGACCTACATATTGTTTAGTAATTAGATAGTAGATAACTGTTATGGCTTCATCTGAAAATATCTCGTTAAATAATGCATTACACATTTACTTTTATTTTTACTTTTTTTTTTTTTCAATAAAATCTTCACAATAATAATATTTTTGAAAATATACATAATATATGTATAATCATATGCATGTAAAATTAATTGAGAATAAAAGAGAAACTAATTAAAATACTCATCAAATAACTAAATTTAATCCTTCACGTTACCTAGGGTTAACATTCGAATCTCGATACGTCGCATTCGTTGAAGTCTCTCTCCCCATCATTCCGCGACTTCAAAAACATACAAATAATCTTGAAATTATTTCAGCCTCTCTTTTATTTATTTCCGCATGCCTTAAGCATTTCAATTAGTCATTTATTTTTTATTTATTTAATCAAACCTGTCTATCATCTTTCAAACCTAGCTTATATATATTTAACACAATAAATCATTTCTAAATTAATTATATAATAAATGAAATATATACGATGGGATGTATTAAAAAAAAATGTTGAACTTTGAACAAAACAACAAACACTTTTATTTCTTTTTTTTTTTTTTTGTAAATATTATTATAGCTCAAAACTTTTCAACCTATCCGTATATATAATTTCATAAATATTTTGACATTTCAATTTTTCAATCATATGGATAATTAATATTCTTGATACTATACAAATCAATCATGCATTCGGAATTCTTTTGTAAATAATTTTTATGGGTATGATTCGTGAACTGCACACGTGACACACATTCACAATAATTCAACGTATAGAGACATACACTGTCATGGTATTGTATTAACAATTATTATATTTTACTAATTAATAAAATAATTACGATTGAACAAAAATGTACGTAGGTAATGAAAGATGAAGGATCTATCATCGTTGGTCAAAAACTTTGACTTTGAAAAGTAACGGGAGAAGAGTAAAGAATTTATTTTTGTTTCAAGGTACTCCTGGAGATACAGAGTTTATTTATAGGAATTCATCCTCCGGTCGAACTATCAGTAAACGCCCATGGAAGACAAGAAGAAGAAGAAAAAGAAGAAGAAAGGAGAAGAAGACTAAGAAGAAGAAGTAGTAGTAGTAGTAGTAGTAGTAAAAGAAAAAAAAAAGAAAAAATTCCAAGATATTTTAATTTGTTTTCCCCCTCTACTATTCTCTTTCTCCCTTTGTACCGTATCGTTCACCAAACAATGATCTTGCACCATGTCCGAATTTGTATTTAAAAGAAATAAAAGAAAAGTAAAAAAACAAATAAAAAATGGGGTACCTTACGACGAGGAGAAGTTTGTGTTGGCGGGGAATTGTGAAGCATGGCTGTGATTTCCCTTAGAACGACCCTCGTCCCTTCACGAACTTGTCCTCCAACGATGATGTTTTTTGGATTCGACATTTCTCCTGGTCGTCGTATTTCCATATTTTGTGACAAATATTTGACGCTTCTGTTACTGTCCTTTTGGTTTTCTTATTCCTCTTCTTCTTCTTTTTTTTTTTTTTTTTTTACGTTACAAAGCTAAATTTTTCTCAGCTCGCTTCTCTTACCTCCAGCAAGTCAAAACGCACTTTTTCTTCGACGTATCACATAACTAAAAACACATTTAGATCTTTAATTACACTTATGAACCTTTGACAATTACGTATCCGACACCAATTAATTAATTTGATTCGTTTATTCACTCGTTAGCACCAACTTTTGTAACCTTACACACATTCAATTCTACAATGCAACGACACGACGACTTTTAACGGCTGCCTTAGCATTCACAAACTTGAATGCGAAACTTGTAACCAATCAAAATTGCCGATTTATTTAACTCTATGCGCCACCGTATCGTGTGGCATCTTCCTTATACGATTGATAATATAGATTTCTTTAATCTTATTTAACTGTATAAAATAAGTAAAATATATGTATTATATTATCCTATTTTTTTATTTAATGAAACACATAATGTTAATTAAATATATAATTAATGTTAATTCTACTGTAAAATATTTCTATTTTTATTTATATTAAAGTTAATCTTATGCAAATTTGAATGAAACAAATTTACAAAGATAGAAAGAAGAATAGTTTATATATATACCTTAATTTTGTATTTTTATGACAAATAAACGTACTTATGATTTCTCGTTACAGTTTAATCACATTTGTCTATTTATATTAAGTAATTTTTATAAATATCGAGTTTAATTAAACGCTATGTACTTACGAAGATGCAACAGGTTTCAATTGATTAGAAAAATAATCTCCACTCAAAGAAAATTTTATTTTGTATATTTAATAAATCAAGGTACACATTTTCTTTACCTTATTACATAGTTGAATTTATTAGATTCGTTTATTTGTTTCTTCCATGTAAGATCATACAAATGTAACCGTACTACGCTTTTTCTAACACTGCAGCAATATCTTGCAACAAGAAGATGATTCCAACGACCAATCAGAACGGATGATTTATTTGTTTGATTTAAATGCAATGGCGCTGTATTTTATCTTTCTACGGTCGGTAATACAGATCTCTAACAATCTTGATGAAAATGCGCGCCAAAATATCATACATATGAATTTCATTGCATTTTTATTGTTTATATATATATATATAAAAAAAAAAAAAAAGATGTACTTATAATGTTAACTAAACATATAATATTATTCTTACAAGTTTCTATTACTAAATTTAGATTTAAAATTCATGCAATATAGTATAACCGTATACAATTAATTTGTTCGAATTAATTACAATAAGGCAATTATTATTATTATTATTATTACTAATACATTGATTACTGGTAAAAGCTCCTTTTTCGAATATCCTATAGATTAACAAGTTTATTCTCAAGCTTCATACAAATGTGTATAAACCATCACGTTATTTTACGTGAACGGCAGTGTGAAAATATCACCACGAGTTATGGTGTTTGTAAGTCTTGTCATATTATTTACTCATGCTAATTTCTCTCGTACAATCTCACGCGCATCCACTCACTCGAAACTTCTATTTTCATCTTTTTTTTTTTTATGCATATTATATATTATATGTGTAAATATATATATAATATATTATATATAATATGTATAAAAAACTGCACACACGTACAATACATTAATATATTACCGCATTACATAGTAAATTAATAATAAGCGATATATATATATATATATAATACTATTAACAATGTTCTTTTTATATATAAATAAAAAGAACTCCAAGTAAAGATTTTTCATAGGCACTAGAATAACTTTTTTTTTGTTTTTTGTTGACTGAATAATAATAATAATAATAATATTTATAGGAATAAGAACAATATTAATTAAATATGATTTGTTAAAGTATATGTTGTGTGAAACATTACTGTATGGATATAATCACAGAGATTAGTCACCATTTAATATATGGTTCCTATTTAAGTTCAAGTTGCTTTAAAACAAGGCACTTATTTCTTCTTCTTTTTTTTTTCTTTCTTTTTTTTCTTTTTTTTTTTTAAAATGTAAACATTTATATATTATACTAAAATATATATTACATTAAATTTGTGCTCAGAATCAATATCCACTAATAATAATGCCTTTTACAGAGTTATTTTCTATAACAATCACCACCCCATACTAAACGATTGTTCGAGATATGATCGATCGATTAATGTACATAAAGGAATTAACATTATGCATATTATTTATGAAATAAAATGTAACAACTAATATACGCACATGCATAAGATTTGATACGTGTGAGAGCGCTGTTATCGATTTTGTTTTCTTCTCTTTTCATTCTTTTTCTCTCCTCCATTTATTTCTCGTAATTCTTTTTTTTCAACAATAACTTTTTTTTTCTTTCTTTTTTTTTTCAAAATAATAACTCTAAAATTTAAAAAAAAATTATTCGCAAATAAATGAGTAATAGTTGTTAGCAAATAATTATTATGTGTACGGGCGTAACTGTGGTGGATGACTTGGAGTCGATGGATCATTTTTTTGACTGCTAGATGGAGGAGTTAAAAGACAATTTTCAGTTGGACTACTATTTAAATCGGATTCAGTTTTAGTTTCTACTTCTTCTAGGTCGATCGGTAGAATATCATGTGGCACTCGATGTTGCGCTTTCTCTAACATGTTCAGATCTACAACATGAGTTTGAATGCGATGCGATTCGTCTATCACTATATTAGGTACTGCTGCTTTAAGTCCAGATCCAGAATTAGATTCTACAGGAGATACAGCGGATCTTAACAAAAATTGGGGACCTTCTTCCAATACTGTTGTAGCAAATGGGGTCATCCACTTGACGCAAGGGGCCAATTGTTCCCAAGAATAACGTGACACATTTAATGCACACTCTCGTCCTTGTATATGGTAAATGCATCCTGCAGCTATGTGGCTGTAAGGAAATTTTAAACTTCCTTCATCCAAAGTTGCTAAATCCAAAAGCTGAGCAATTTGTGTATACTGTAATCCACTGTACTGTGGATATATAAACACGTTGGGCTTAGACCAATCACCGGATTCTATTTGCATGTAAGTATTTAGCCATGCGGAAGCAGTTATGGATGATAGATTCCATCCGAGTCCTTTTAAGATGATTAACTCTTTTCCCAAAATCTCCTCTTCCGTACAAGCTCCATCAGTGACGTATGCAAACTCAGCTACTTTAGGTGGATAAATTTCTTCGAACTGAAAATCAATTATGTGTTTCATTATAGATTGTTATATTTATAAATAAAGTATTTGAAATGAGTAGAAATTAATGTAAAAAAAAAAAAAAAAGGTAAATAAAGCGTACATACCTTAGCTGCTATAAATAGGCATGTAATACCTATAAGTTGTAATTGACTTTTTGGTACATTTTGATGAATAGACAGATATCTGTCTATATAATCCATAGCAAGATAATAAGTTTCTCTGTGTAGTTTGTACACTTCGCATACTTCGATAAGCCAATCCAACAAAATAGCTCGCATTCTTGGTTGTAATGTCGGATGCCTTAGAAACATTTGTGAATCTCTTTGACCAAGAGTCTTCTGATCTTCCAAACACATAAGGTTCCATACATGCGTACTATCTGCCCAAGAAAATAATGGAAGCGGAGCTGACCTATTTGTTCCATTGTTAGAGCCGGATGGTGTTAAGAAACAAGTTGCGTTTCTTAATTCAGACCAAGTTGCTGGCTCCTGTTGTTCTTTTAAAGGCGTGGGAGATGCTTGAAGAGGTGTGCATGGATTTTCCATTGAAAGTGCACCATTACAAGACTCGTATGGCACGTGAGATAATGCTGGTACTTTGCTAGGCGGATATATATTCTCTGAATCTTCGGAAAGTTCAGCTGTGCGCCTTTTGCGTTTCATTGATTGCCTCTCCTTACCACATTGCAAATAGGTTTGTGAAGATTTCTTCTCTTGTAAACTGTCGATAGATGGACAAAAAAATATATATATTATATATTTCTCCAAAACTACTGCTTTCCTATCGTATGAATAAGAAAACTTATAAAAAATAAATGACCTAAGTACAACGATTAAACACTCAATACAATATGCAATATGGAAAATTGTAACTACAATTTATCATTTATTATATCTCTATTAACGTTATAATTAATCTGCTATGGCATTTGTTCTTTTAGTAATCTCAATATGTGTTGAACAGTTACAAGAGAAGGTTATATAAACAAAATTAAAGCCACAACTAAGGGAGAAAAAGTAATCGATTGTTTGTTAAGAGTATTCCAAGGTCGCTATAATGAGTATCAATTTGTTCTAAATGAAAACCAATGAGATAAAGGAAAAAATTTTTCTATAAAATAGAAGATCAAATACTCACTTGGTCTGTTGCATGTTGCTGAGATACGCCAGCTATGTTCGAAATATTTCCAAGTGTTATTAATTATTTGTATTTATTATACGAATCGACCGATATCGTTCTAAATATTGAAGGTAATTAAATGAAATTTAGTCGAACAATATTGTCGATAAAATACTGAAAATGATGTTAGCGCGCGAAGTTTAGGCACACTCGATCGCCATAATGCACGTCGTCTTTCCAATACGAATACGATATTTAACTATTAAACTTAAAGTCACTTGTGATATTTGATCGTAAGAAAATCTTCTCTAGTCCTTAGATATGTAAAGTTTAAGTGTAAATGAATTTGGAATAAAAGTTTCATGGAAAAATCGGAGGACGTGGATCTCGAAGCGCGGGAGACCAGCGCGCGAAACGATGACCAACCCCTGCTTGCAATCTGGCGCTGTGACGCCCTCTATATGAATGCCATAACCTCAAAAGGGGAAAATTTTTCAATGTCGACAAATATTTTCGAGAGGACTTCCCTTGACCTCTATCAATGGACAAACATCGATGTCATTCTCAGGAAACAAGGATTTCCTTGATCAAACAAAGGTCTCTCTAGCTCTTCCTTCGGTCCACGACTCCTCCCAATTAGACTCGATTTTTCCAATAATTAACCACTACAAAGGCACCCGATGAACTTTTTCTCGAATAGAATGAGCACATTAGTCTCCTTATTGATAATTTCTTTTCACTTGTATATGAAATAATAGCGTTAAAACGTTTTCGAAACAACACGATGCCACATGTATTGAGACTCTTTTGCGTCCATTAGTATACGCTGCTTCCCGCCTTGATCTAATCGCGCCGTATTTTCGAACAAACGATAGAATAACTTTAAATTCACTCAAGTTAAATGCGTTACGATGAGGAACTTTAGATAATCGTGTAAAAAAGATAAATAATAAAATAATATATATTTAAAATAAACTCAAGAAACAGGTACGAAAGACTGTCTTGTAAGAACGCCACAAAAGTAACAGGCGCCGGGTAGGCGTGCTTATAGGTGTCGCTAGTAACGTTTCGAGGATAGGCCTTTCTGATTGGTCGAGCCGTCTGACACAGCTGGCGCTCAGCTGATCCATCCGTAACACACACTCTTATTTACCTTCACCGATAAGTGACGCGCGCTAGTTGATACGATGCAACACCATGCACACACACACAACTCGACAACCCTGACCCACGCGGGAAAATACGCGCGCGCGGCTAAATGAATTTCTCTTCATCCCGCTACACCCCTGCTCTAACATTACCGCTCTCTTCCTCTTTCATTTCCTCTTTCTCTTTCTTTCTATGCGTATGCGCGCGCATCCAACCAACAACGTAACAGAAGACTACAAACCGCGTTGATCGGATTCTTCCAGAGATGCGCAATCCTTACCACGTGTCGAACACGATGACCCCTTTCAAATTTTGCGCTACAAGATCGATTTTATATTATTGTATTTCTTTTAGGCTTAGAAATTCTAACGGGTCTTATAATATAACTACATATGAAGACCTTAGTGCGTCTTATGGAAATTATATACATTATATCATAGGCTTCTACTCCTTGTCTAACTGTACTTTTTAGAAACTCCTCTCTTGGTTTTTTTATTCTATTTAAATTATCAATTGTTATGTATCCTAATTTTATCTACTCTTCTTATTACTTAACAATATTCGATTTAGAATAAAGTTAAAAAAAGAATGCTTACGATCGATATTTATTTTCGATGAATGTACAAATTACTGAATCTTGTCTTATTATAAATAAGTCTTAATTTTATAGTTATTTATGAAATTTATTGAATTTAATAAATAATAAAATGATTGTAATACTCTAAAATAGAAAAGATTGTCTATTATTTTTTTATTAATGCATAACTGATGCAAACTATAAAAAATAAAAGATAAAAATATCGTTGAATAAAGTCGATAATTTATCGACCGTATCGATAGTTCCAAACTGTTTATCGATCGATATTGCAACTATAGGGAATTTACAAAATTAATAACTACGTGTCGCTTTGATCGATAATAAACCAATAACAGATTTAGTCATCTATCTTATATATTATCAGTGAACATCATTTTACGACTAATCACACACACACGCGCACACATACGAGTGTACTTGACGATTTCGTACACATATGCCGAGTTCGATGCAAGTATGTACGGAAATTCGGTGTGTGACGGGGGCGAGGGTGAGGGGTTGAGGATTCTAGGGGGAAAGACGAAGTGCAAGAATGCGATGTGCAACATCGAACGACAAACACAAGGAAAACACTGGCGTGCCGTTGACTGGGACGGGGAAGGTGCGCTCTTACATTTATTGTCATTTCAATAATATGATCGATAATTATCTAGAAATAATTACAATTTCTATTCTACATTGTTTTACATCTAATTATATATTAAATTCTAATATAAATATGAATAGATATTTTCTTCACTAATATCTTTTTATACTTAAACACAAATGATTTAAAAAAAAAAAATTATGTACCATAGTAATATATTTATAATAAATATATAAATAAATAGATTAAAGATAATTGTTATCAAGATCGTAATAATTTGATTAAATTTTAATAATATTCTTATTATTGTTAATAAATTTAAATGTCAAATAATAAACGTGACAAAATAAATATATTACATTTGTCTGTACAATATTTATACTTTATCAAA